GCTGGATTATTGCATCCACACAGACGCGGGAATTTAAGACTGAACATTTCAGGGAGGTTTAAGAAAAAGTCGCGAGTGTTTTGCTGCTTATCAGCAGTGCTTTCACTCATCATTCCACCTTACGTCCATTTCTTTTGCAATTACATAATCTCTTAGCGCCACAGGTCTGGACCCCCCCACACACCCTCTTAGCGTCAAATTGACGCTAAGCGTAACAACGCCCCTTCAACTCAGTGCGAATTGAATACACGCCCCCAGTACCTGGCGCGCACTGCGGGAAAAGGGGTTGTTCGCACATTGTCCGAGAGCCTCGGATACGTCTGTGTAGTGCACAGACATGTCCGAGCGGCATTTGAAATGGACCGAATCTCTCGGACTGTTTTGTGCGTCGTTTGGGCAAGGCCAGAGCGTCGAAGGTGCTCGCGCGCGTCCTGAGCGTCCGAGGCCTCAGATGTGACAGGGGCATGCGCAGAAATTACCCGCCCGTCCGGGAAATGCGTGGACAGTCTGAATGCGTCCGGGAAATGCGGGCAATTTTTTTGGGGGGTCTCTGGCACTGGTAAAAAACGGCATGTTTGCGATGCCATCCGCGATGCCATTTTGACACAAATGATGCCATCACAGTGACTGCAATGGCATAAAAAGTGGCTGTGATGGCATCAATTTGTGTCAAAATGGCATCGCAAGCATGCTGTTTTCTACCAGTGTGGGGGATTGCGCGGATGTCAGGAACAGCGCGTGCTGAACGCGCGGACAATTTGAGTGTGCTCGGACACATCTACAACGTTGCCGTGTGCACTGACACGCTGAAACTATGCAAGCGTTGCAAGCGTTATCATTGACGCGTCAGCGGAAGCAGAATTGACGGAATGAAATGGAGTGAATGTGTTTAAATCGGGATTAGGGCCGTTGCAACGGCCCCAATTGGGAGGGAACTTTGGACGGCCAACGGGAGTGTCCGTTGCGGGCACACTTGGATTCGGTGTGAATGGCGCTGCCGCTACGCAAACTGGGTATGACTGGCTCAGTGAGAAAAGTGTTTGGCACAGCTCTTAAAGTTGTGGCTAGCTTATGGGCAGCGACCCTTGTTTCAGGGCGCGGTTGGTGATAAAGTCCAGGAAACCGAACTGAGCACAGTTTGCACCGCTGGGAACGCAGTTTCGAGACGATCCGTGCAAACGGGGAACTTCGGGGAAACGGGGAAAGTCATTGACGCGTCAGCGGAATGTACGATATCTCCACCTCTGCGCCACAACAAGCTGACCCGCTGGGCACCCAACTCATCGTCCTGGGGACCACGTGGAGAACGCTTTCCGCTGGCGCGACCGCTCGGTGGTGAGCGCGCGGCAACCGAACTGGCCAACAGTCCAGAGCGCGAGCGCTGCACGGACGAGCAGCGGGCGCGGAGCATGGCGAGGTGGACGGGCGGGCTGCCGCATGATCCGCGGGGATTGCAGACACTCCACTGAGGATCAGGGGAGCCACGGAGCGATATTAGAGCGGAGGAATGGCGGATGCTTCAACTGAGACACCGAGCGCTCCTGGGGCGCCGTCGCGGAGCCGTTCATTTGCAGATGGGTACGATTTTCAATGTCACAAAATGTTCGACGTTGACTATCTGAAGGGCACCCTTCGGGCGAAATGCGCAATGCCGACATGCCGCGCGCCACCTGTTGGGCATTTTGCCAACCCGGCGAGTGTCAGTTTCGACCCACGCGATTGCACTGGAATTCCAAGGTCACTCACCTCGCGCATCGAGTTCTTGATTATCCTTCAGTTGAATCTGCTTGCTTGCTTGCCAAATTACTTTTGCTTACACTGTTTTGAATTGCAAGTTGGTTCAGACAAAGTACCCCAGGATTGAAGACACAAAGTCTCAAGACTATGTGACTCAGTGATGGAAATCAGATTGCGAAATCATGTCATCTGCAAGCGCAAATTCGCCTTCCGTTCTATCTCAAGGATTGGTGGCTTGAGTACTTGAGAGAACGAAGCTAATTTGCATCCTCGCAGAAGTTTGTTCTCCACCCTTTCTGCTGGCAGGGCGCCCGGACCACTTTCCGTCCCACTCACTACCACCGCAGCTGCGTGAACGATTCATGGGCCTCATCGCCGGCCAGTACGAGGCAAAGAAAGACGGCTTCCTACCAGGGGGCCCCAGCCTCCACCTGTGCCTGAAGCCCCGCAGACCGGACACCAAAACCTTCGAGGAGGCCATAGCCACAGAGCAGGAGTGTCCGCGGCACCTGTCGCGTGACATGCTGGCGTTCATGTTCGAAACGAACCACGCACGCGTGTGGCGCGCCCTGGGCCACGCTTGATCTTCATCCCATAAAAACTCAACGAATTTACGTTTTTATGAGTGAAAACAGATTTTGCGTTAAATACAACGTAAGTACAGCCCCGTGTGCATAAGGACGGTGCATACAGATTTTAGGAGTGCGGGGAATGGCAGTCAGACGCGCTGGAATGGGTACAAAACGAACTTTTGTTCTGAGGGCGAGGTGGGCTTGTGTTGCGGGGGCTGAACATGGCGGAGGGCTGGTCATTGTACGCAACTTTCATCGTGTAGCCTGGGTGTCACAGGGAGCCGTGAAAACGTAAAAAACTGCAGTAAAAATGCCCCTTTTCGCAAATTCACGTTTTCATGCGGTAAAACGTAAATGGAAAAACATAAACGTAAGCATAAAAACCAAGCCTGCCCCTGGCGACGCCCACCGCGCTGGGGTACCAGTAGTGCGAACGGGATTTGGGATTATTTCCAGTGTGGGATCGGGTTGAACAGCCACTTTGACAGGGGGTGGAGGTACCGGGGAGCAGCGGGTTTGGGTTTCAGGCGGATGGTGGGTCAGCGGCACTGAAACGGATGCTGCAGAGTTGGCCGCGTGCGTCTGCAATGGCAGACGTGTGCCCATGCGCTTCCAGTCAATCAATTGATGTGTTGCAACACATGTCGTACAGCGAGGAGGTGGCCGTCAGGTCGATGCTGCACCATCGAGTTTGCCTGGAAACGATGTGACAGGAGATGGGCAAAGGGCGGGAGGCGTTCTGCAAATGTGTGCATCGTTCACTGCAATGGGGACGCGCATGCAGGGCAATGCAGGCACGCGCAGGGCAGGATGTTGATCGTTCCCCAACTAGAGGTCGTTTGGGATTGAAAAGACGCCACCCATTCGCCCACGAAGTGATGTGGTACGGCTTGGGCCGGCTCCATCCCGCAAGTCCAGATCTCTCGAGGTGCGATGGCATCCGTGTGCTGGATTGTGCGCTGAGCGGCCAATTATGACCCTGGATTGGTGGTTGGAGATGCACTGGTGTCCTGTACTGGTGCCTGGCGCGGGGCGTTTCATAGGCGCTTGTAAAATATGATGGGGGGTGGGTTGATATTTGAGATGGGCCAATTCGCTGCGACTGCGTGTTATCACAACATGGTTGAGGTTGTAACGGAAATGTGTGGTGAGCACATGCAAATGTATCAACGCACCTGGGAGATATTAGCGCTCAATTGTGCGAAATCTTGGAAAACCAACGATTCTCCCCCTTGCAATTTAAACGCCCATTGCATGGTCATATATGAAGCGTTCTCGCACCCGAATCTGGTCGTGTGTGCATCTCGTCACTTGGCCCTCTTCATATTGCAAGAATGAAAGAAGTTCCTCATTCGAGTATGCACTTTGAGCATGTGCCATTTGCCACAAAGTCAAGTGAGGAATATGCGCTGGCGATTGCTTCCCCTTCCCCACTCGTAAATTCCACACCGTGAATGCAAGAGAACATCGCAGCGAAGAAAACAGTTGCTGGAGCTGATCGCATCCCTTTTTGTCAGCACATCGGAGAGCGCCCCTGACAAGACAGCAACAATATGGGGTAGCTACAGTGCCAGTGGGGGATCGCGGACGCTGAGGGCCATGCCCAGGCACGGTTACCAAGCACAATGCAAGACACAGGAACGACGCCCTGGGCCTGGCATGCAAAACGAAGGCGGATTTGTTTGAGAGCTGCACACATGCATGTCGCGCTGGCATGCTCCGTCTCAAGCGTGACCACCAGAGCATATCTAATGCGCATTGTGGACAATGAAACTCTACCAGCTAATCTTCTCATCAAGTTGCTGTGCGGGATTGCCATGCACAGTTATCGTATTTGCCCGGTATTGGTAGGCGAGTATTGGACCCTCAAAATGGGCAGTGGATACTAATAGTTGGTCATGGATACTTACAGCATCGGTCGGTGCTATTGCACTGGCGGAGCTATCCAGGAACCGTTCTCATTGGCTGCCGTGCCACCTTACTAAGCTGGCATTTGCCGAATAGCACAAGTGCTATTGCTCCCCTGCGCGCACCCACAATGGTGGGTGCTATGCCTACGCCGAATAGCATCACTGCAGCACTACAATGTTCTGCGTGAATAGCACTGGCGCTATTATGGGGTGCTATTTGGCCCCGAGCGGTGCTATTCGGGGCCAAAATAGCACCGCTCGGTGCTGAATAGCTATGGGGGTGCTATTGGGGTGCTATTGCTCCCCAACCGTTAATGACGTTTTTTTGACATGCGGTGCTATTCGGATAGCCGAAGAGCTCCGCCGGGACAATAGCACCCACCGATAAAGATGCTTATACGAGGCTTAGACCCCCTGATCCAAGGATTTCACAGAGAAAAAAATTAAAATAGCCATTGAAATGCTGAAAGGAGCATTTGAAACAATGCAAGATGCGATGCATAGGTAGCGACATCACCCAATCAAAATTATAAAATCACAGACACCACATTATTGACAACTCCATATTGTAAGCGACGATGCTGTTGCCACCACAAAATCCCAAACAGAAACACAGAAACGCATTCACGATCAATCGCTGTCCACATCCATATCTGATGCAAAGCCTTCAAAATCCTCATCAACAACTTCCCCGTCCATGAGCAATTTGGACAGGAGTGCCAGCATATTCAGGTGGACGGCGGCCCTACCGTGTGGCCCGATTGGAGCACCTCCGGTCAAGCTAAAGGCAAGCTTGGGCGAGCCTGGCGGAGGGTGTGTGGAACATGGTTGTGAGAAGCGCCTGGGGTGACGGCTGTTCAAGTGGCATGTATGTCACCAGGCGCGGCCCGGCGCTGCCAACAACAACCATCTGTTCCCCCAACGGCCAAGAAAGTTCGAAGGAGACCCCATGGCGCATGGCAGGCACGTGCGCATGTGGCTGACAAGCTACGCTGCGCGTAGTTGAAGTGGTTGGATGCACTTTACAATAGTTGTTGCGCAACGGGGTGCCGCGGGATCCAGTGTGACTGCCAGAGGCGAGCGCCTGGGTGAGAATTGTTGCATAAACAAGCAGTGCCGCCAGGTCTGCTGGCAACTCTAGGCCAGCAACTGTGCCATAGACGCATGGCCTGCAGTCGCTCGACAAGCGAATAGAATTCTTTCCCATCAGACCAGCTGCTCCAGCTGTGAGGCTTGCAGCCACCACATGCATCGCACCACAGGATGGGCAACCTTTTGGCAGTTGTTGCACGTTGAGGTCATGCAACAAGAGTGTTGTGCAAACAAAGAAATGAAAACTAGCTTTCTCTCCCCAAGGCGACTTCAACGAGCCCTCTTGAGCTCGTTTCTGTTGAGATTTTGGGGTGGATACTGACACCGTGTCATGGGTACTAACGTGGTTTTGACCCCCAAAGAGGAGGGTGGATACTAATAGGGGGTTGTCTACTAATACGGGTAAACACGGTATGTTCAACAAGCGGAGCACACTTTCGACTGCAGTGTCCAGGCGCAGATGGCCAGAAGCGGCAACGGAATGAGTGGTGGTGATGATGGGGACACAGCAGGCAGGCGCACCATTGGCTCCCCTCACACACAATTTCCCACTCTACAAGACAACCCAGAGCTAGCATGATGCCAGCAGATGCCAGCAGCGCATGATGCCAGCAGCGCATCCCTTGGACACTGCACCTCCATTCTTTTTTGAGCAGGCAGGCCATAAGGAGCTACTGAATCTGCACGTCCTAACTGCCACAGCATTTCTTCTACCGTGGTGCAGCCCATTAGCAAGGGCCCTCCTTCAGAGCACGAGAAGCGTGCCAAACTGATATCATTGGATGAAGCTACGTCCAAGGTTCGCTAGTGAGACGATTGGCACCAACCATTGCAAGACAATTGTTGTTCCACCTTACTGTACCACCAACAGATGCAGCTTCCATTCTAGCATATCTATGCTTTGCGCATTGTGATCATTCCAGCAAGTCTCTGTCTCATTCAGTGACGCCCAGCCTCTTTGCCAGTTCATGATGACCCTCGGCGCTTGCATATTGGGCCGCTGATCTTCCGTCCTGAACACAGCGAACGCTCATCAAGCAGTTGTGATGGCTGCACAGCGAAGAGGTCAAACTGACGATGGGATGTCAAGTGACCATTTTCTTGTGATCTACATCTGCGGGCTGGCATTGTCTTCATACGTGAAAAAGGAGCGAGTTGGCTGGGGTGCTTGCACCCATTGGCCTGGGATCTGCAACGTGCCGAAAAATTTCTGAATGCGTATAATGAATCTTTGGTGTTGAGCGTACGAATGCAGGTGATTGTGTACTTGCTGATGCAATTGAATTCAGATGTCCAACAACAAAGAGCCAAGCACAGCTGAGGACCCTCTTAGAGGTGGAAAGTTTGCTGCACATTTGGCACACAAATCAGGTTGCATTTCCTCCCAGTAAGTATTGGCAAAACCCGCGCACACAATGCCACATTCAGGCCGTTGCGACTGAAATATCACCTTGTCGGTCGACGTCACCGAACCCCCTCTGCTCAGCAGCAGTTCTGCAGCTGCTGTGTGGCCATCCCTTGCTGCCGCCATCAGCGGAGTCATGCCATTCTGCAAATCAACGTACTCCGTCATGGCACGTTTAAAAGCTGCCATAAAAACCGCTATACAATGGGCTCTGTTGGATGCAAAGGCACAGCAACGGAGGCACACAATGCAAAAGACCCAACAACCCCATCATACATCTCCTTGCGAATGTCATGGGAACCCGATTTCCTTAGGCTTGCGTGGCTTGCCAGCAATGCTATTCCTCATTTGCCTCCTTTGTACATGTTGAAAAACCAATGCATGCAATGTATGTCATGGCCATTTTAGCGACAAGGCTGCCTCGGTTGCGGGTGGCAGTCTTATCAGTAGTCTGGGCGTTGCTTGCCTACACTCGGCGCAATGCAAGAAGGTAGGTCGGACAACCACTTGTGTGTACTCACAAATAACTTTTAGCGCTCAAGAGAGTGTGCAAAGGTGCATTCGAAGCCCATAGAAAGTTTGTTGTGCCTTGGTGTGCCTTGGAAAGTTAAGCCGTTCAGCACCATGGCAGTTTGTCGACTTTGGATGTGCTAAAACTGCACTTTGCAAAAAGTTGTTCAAGAGGTTGCTCAGTTCTTCGCTAGGTATTGAGGCCGGTGGGACCACAGGAACGGACTAGTTTTCTTGCTCAACATTAATAAGACTCAGCTGCTGATCGCGTTTTGTGGGATGACGAGATCCAGCACAGGATAGAGGCCACCATCCAAAAACGCTGGCAGGGGCTGCTTCATTACTCACAGCTCTGTTTTTCTTGCAAGCAGTGCTGCTGCTTTCTCATTGCAGCACCCAGGAATAAGAGCCCAGCATTTCTGAGTCGCTGCAAAAAGCTGAATCATTTGAATTCCTAGGCTGCACCATCAGAAAAAAAGCAAGGAATAATACCTGTGTTCCGCATATTCGTTTGTCAGGTGTACGATTGTGTATAATTTTTGCTGTGAGCCTGCAGAGTGTGCCTTGTCAGTTTGGCAGTCAATCTGCGTTCGGCAATGCAGGGCAGCAGAGTGTGCGCATGCATGCATGTGTGTGGCATTTGAAGTAGCAGCAAACATGCACCGTGCTACATCCAGGCCAAGCAGCAACGCGGCTATATCATGCACATGTGATGAGCTGCAAAGCAAAGCCAACAGTGTGCGTCTTTATACAGAAAATCGGGCCCATGAGAAAGGCAGGGCCCCTTGTAAAGTGATGAAGGGCCTCTGCGATTCCAGGAAAGAACAGTGGCACTGTGTGTTTACCAGATCAGCAAGCAATCCCATGAGATGATTAGGCAGAACTTGGCATACATGCTACTCAGCCCAATCAGCTTGCCTGGTGGCCTTTTCGCTCCACAACATGCCACACAGCCTCGACGCCCTTGGAGGCTGGTGAAAAAGCAACAGCTGCTGATTGCGTCGAATTCTGCATGCGCATTTTGACCGTGCGAAAGGATATGCACTGTGTGTTTACTCAACAGCCATGGACTTGCAATAGGCCATCCAGCATGATGGCTCGAAACAGCTTTGGAACGAGGTTCAGTTGTTAGAAACTGCGTTGTGAGCATAACATTACGTGGGGAGAGGATCCATCAATCAGCTGTAGGGGAGAGGATCCATCAATCAGCTGTAATGGAAAATGCATCCCAACATCTCACTTGATGCGATGTTGGCAGTCTGCAACACATCGTACAGCACTGAACAATTTTCTTACCTTGTTTGGCAGATCCACGGCTGCACCATGGTCCAACATAATCTTCACAATTTCTGCAGCGGTTTGTTCATCAGTCTTCGGGTGCCCTGCCTTCTGCCAAATACCCAAAAGAGGCGTTTCTCCTGCCTGTGCATCCAGCACATCAAACCATTTGCAATGCTTTGCAATACAAAAAAAAAGTTTGTCACAGATATCAAAGGTAGTTGAAAAGTGGACAACCACCAAGTCGTCATATTCACGCAGTTGACAAATTGTCCGTCCAACTGAAACTGCAGGTTTCTCGTGCATGGGGGAGGCACCGATTCGATGGCAACACCCTCAGTGCTGATGGCAACACATTTGATGCTGAGGGTGCGGAAGGGTGGTCCGTCCAAATAGCAGGCGCAAGGAAATGTCAAACCTGCAGAGGAATCAACACATGAGGAGGCCTACAATGCAATCAACTCAACCGCAAACGACACCAATGCATTTGCAATCAGGTTGCCACTTGTATCACTCAGAGGATGTTCGATGAACACAGCAGACCCCAGCCCACGTGCCCACGTTCACAATATCATTTGAATGCAGAATTCTTTCACCGGAGTGAATATGGAACACTGTGTTAGGTATATAATACCATAGCAAAAGACAATCCTACCTCGTTTTGTCTGTCCATGGTTGCACCACCCTTCAGCAACAGCTCCACGGTGATTGGATGCCCATTGAGCATTGCCTCTGACAGGGGCGTGTCACCATCCTGTGCAGTTCGTCACACACCAGAAGATCAATATGCAGGACTGGCACAAAGGTGCAACTATCTTCTGTTCGCGCAAAACGGTAATTCCGATTGGCAAGATATCAATGCAGTTTCAACATGGTGCCGTTCCGATCTCAGGGCATCAAACACATGCAAAGGCAGAGACAAGTGGGTCCTATGCAACAGCAGTTTGCACTCTCAAGCAGAAACACCCACAACGAAATAAGGAATTAAAGGTGTTGAGGAAAGATGACCACAAGGACTAGGCGCCTGCTTCTGAGCACCCATGTTCCAGCCTGAGCTGGACAGTGCAGGTACGCAAATCTATATGAGAAGCTCACCTTGTCAACACTGTCCACTTGTGCACCACGGCTAAGCAGCAGCTCCACTGTGGCGTTGCAGCCCATCGCAGATGCATTTGAAAGGGCTGTGCAACCGTGCTGCAAGTTGCACATGACAATAAGAGCGGAAACAAATTTGCATCATTCAGGCTGCCTGACCTCAGCCAGTTTGTATCAGTGCACAAGTAAACGGATGTTGTCTGGACAGCTGTGTTGCCATATCAGTCGTATTGTGTAGCCAGGCCAAATTAGACTTGTCAGTTACACCACATACTGCAAACTTGCAGTACGTTATGGAATTTCATAAATTACAGTGCAAAGACCCTGTGTACAATTAGAAGCAAACGCACATTGCGGACCAGTCGCACAAATTACCATTAAAGCCCTCCCCCACACCCAGGCTCCCAAACCTTTGGACAAGTTTTTCCATCACAGGTCATCCACTCTGCCACCTGGGCAATTTCAAGGCCCTGTGCACCCTTTCAAACACAGAGCCCCTGGTGCGAGCCCTTGACAGCTTTTGGTGATTGAAAGTCAATGGCTTACAGTGTGAGATTGGCGTCGACTAAGGCGTTGGCATCTCAAGGGACAAAAAGAAGGTGTTGTGAAGCCTTGGAAGGCTGGAGATCACCACCTCTTCCCTGACGATATCCTGTTAAATTCTGGAGAAGACAACGGGGCCGAGAGAGGGTGTCGCAGTGAGCCAAAGACAAGTGTGCTTTGTGGAAAGTGCCGCAGATCACCGGGGATAGCGCGCCCCGCCCCCACCCACCCACCACCGCATTCTGCATCAGGTGGCTGACTCACTAGCGGCCCACCGCACTGTTGTGCTGGCTCGCCAACCCCGCCAATTTATCGCGTTACATTAGGCGCCATCCATGGCAGCAACCAAAATCGGTGCCAAAAATGGTGACAGGATGCCATAGATGGCTGCATTTACGCCGCGCTCCCCGTGCTCCCCATGCAGAATGACTGGCAAAGCGAACCTTGCCTGGTTCATGTAGTGCATTGTACAACATTACGTAAGGTGCCAATCACAGCCCCAAACAAAAGCAACAAACAACAGCTAATAGGATGTCGCCCTGCACTGTGTTGCACCCCCTGTGTCAGTGAGACCGTGCACGACAATGTCCGATTGTGGTAGCCATAGCCACATGACGACCGATAGTGAGGGAAGCAGAGAGCATTGTGGGAAGCAAGGACCATGCTCCGAAGCAATAAAGGAAGTTAGTCCTTCCTGAACAACCGTTTCGAGTTCTCCTTGGGTAGCGGTGCCAAGAGTGCCATGGTGTTTGATTGAGGAAGAATGACGAGGCACTTGGAGTGGACTTGACAACATTGGGGTGATAGCTCATGCAATAAGATTTAAGATTGTGTGAGAATGTTTTTGCATTGTGGTATTGTATGCGATGTTGAAGTGAATAGTCCCCCTCCACGCCACCTTGCGTAACCCCGCGCTCTGCAACACCAGCCATGTTTGATAACCTATCGGGGGTAGCTGAAGGCCCCCGTGCTATTGAACACCCCCAACGCTATCCCCCGTGATCTACAGTAGTTAGGAGCTTCCTAATAGAAGTGCTTTCAAAGCCTTTCTACCTTGCTGCGGATGAACATGTTTTCGACACACCAGCATGGGGTCAGAAGAACTGCCAGATTCATAGTTGAAGCAGCGAGCAGCTTGCTCGCTGGACATTGAAAGTTTACTGAGCTGTGGGATCGTTGATGCCTGGATACCAAGCCCATGTCGCTGGCCTGGCTCGTGAGATAGCAGGAATAAGGGAAAGGTGCCTGTTTCTGTGGAACTCGGAGAGGAGCAGACGCACAGATGTGAGGTTTCAGAGAGGGAGGCATCGTTGTCTTGAGGCACAGACAGTTGCTCAAACCGCTGGGGTGCATAGGCATCCTGTGATTGTGTTGCAGATAGTTTTCGGCATTGGCAGCATAGTGTCATTGGGAGTTTCGTGCCTTGGACTCATGATCGGAATCCACTCTGGGGCATTGGTGTGTGGATGTGATTCACCACAGGTGGCCAGTTGTACAACCCAATAGTCACAATTATATGGGATATTCAAGACTTTCGATATCCAGGAAATGGGACTTAACTGATCCAGCTCCAGATTTTCCCAATGAGGTGTTGTCCATCATGGACACTTCTGTGTAGCTACAGCATGTCAATCCGCAAGTCGGCAAAAGTCCCATATTTCGGACATGAGTGCGACATGGGGTCCCCCCATATCCTGGGTACTGATTACGGCATTGGTGCCCTATCCCAGATAAGCATAGGAACAAAATAGTCTCAGCCTGGACATGACTGTTCCATACCCAGAATATGGGAGCCCATGTCCTGCAATATGGTGACGATACAGGCGAGGAAGTGGCCATGGATTGGGATATGGGCACCCAGATCCTGGGATATGGCAATATCCAAGATATGAATATTGTTCTTCTGGAAAATTGTTGGACACCAAAACACTACAGTGAATGGAACCATTCGTGAAGCTCGAGCTATTACTGCGAAACCTGTGTTTGGAATCACTCCACAGACAAGGCTGCATGACAAAACAAAGTTGAGTAGTGACCCACCCTATCAGCCGCAGTGACAGATGCGCCTTTCTCCAGGAGGAACTGTGCCGTGGCCGTGTGCCCAGTCTCTGACGCCAGATGCAGGGGCGTCCGGCCATCCTGAAAGGCAAATGCACACTTTCAGGCAGTGAGGAAAATGACCTCAAGCACTCTGGCTGGCCAATGGCATACTGTGATTGTGTTGCAGATAGTTTTCGGCATTGGCAGCATAGTGTCATTGGGAGCGTTGTGCCTTGGACTCAGGATCGGAATCTGCTCTGGGGAATTGGTGTGTGGACGTGATTCACCACAGGTGGCCAGTTGTACAGCCCGATAGTCACAATGATGAGGGCCATTCAAGATTTTCGATATCCAGGAAGTGGGATTTTACCGATCCAGCCGCAGGTTTTACAAATGAGGTGTTGTCCACTTTCGACCTTAATGTGTAGCTACAGCACGTAAATCTGCGAGTCGGCAAAAGTCCCATAATTCGCACATGAGTGCGACATGGCCCCCCCCCCCATATCCTGGGCATTGATTGCGGCATTGGTGCCATATCCCAGATAGGCATAGGAAGGAAATAGTATCATCAGCCTGGATACGAATGCTCCATATCCAGAATATGGGAGCCCATGTCCTGCAATATGGTGAAGATACAAGCGAGGATGTGGCCATGGATTGGGATATGGACACCCAGATCCTGGGATATGGAGCATTATCCAGGATATGAAAATTGTTCCTTTGGAAAATCGTTGCACACCAAAATGCAGCAGTGAACTGGGAACCATTCGTCAAGTTCGAGCTATTACTGCTGGCAACACCTGTGTTTAGAATCACCCCACAGACAAGGCTGCATGACAAAACAAAGCTTGAGCAGTGACCCACCCTATCAGCCGCAGTGACAGATGCGCCTTTCTCCAGGAGGAACTGTGCAATGGCCATGTGCCCATACTCTGAAGCCTGGTGCAGGGGCGTCCTGCCATCCTGAAAGGCAAATGCACACTTTCAGGCAGTGAGCAAAATGACCTCAAGCACTCTGGCCGGCCGCGTGCAAACATTGACTGCAGTCAGCAGGATGGTGCTGCACAGCATACAGCATCAACCATACAGTGCACGCACAGGTGGCCGTCGGCGACAAGGCGTGCAGCACCCCATTCAGTAGCTACACGCATGTTGTTGTAAACATATCAACCAGTTTTCCTGATCCAGATATTGCCGCTGGCCACCTTTGTGTTTGACATCACTCCCCGGACAGGCTTGCTTGGAAAACCAATGACTTGGAATGACCCACCTTGGAAGCTGCAGTGACAGATGCGCCTTTCTCGTGGAGGAAGTGTGCAATGGCCATGTGCCCATACTTTGAAGCCAGATGCAGCGGCGTCCAGCCATTCTTAAAGGCAAATGCACACTTTCAGGCAGTGAGGAAAATGACCTCAAGCACTCTGGCCGGCCGCGTGCAAACATTGAGTGCAGTCAGCAGGATGGTGCTGCACAGCATACAGCATCGACCATACACTGCACGCACAGGTCGCTGTCGGCAACAAGGCGTGCAGCACCCCATTCAGCAGCTCGACGCCTGTTGCTGCAAAAAAATCAACCAGTTGTCCTGCTCGACAAGTTGCCGCTGGCCACCTTTGTGTTTGACATCACTCCCCGGACAGGCTTGCTAGGAAAAATAATGCCTTGGAGTGACCCACCTTGGAAGCTGCAGTGACAGATGCGCCTTTCTCCAGGAGGAACTGTGCAGTGGCCGTGTGACCATTCTGTGACGCCAGATGCAGCGGCGTCCAGCCATCCTGAAAGGCAAATGCACACTTTCAGGCAGTGAGGAAAATGATCTCAAGCACTCTGGCTGGCCGCGTGCAAACATAGAGTGCAGTCAGCAGGATGGTGCTGCACAGCATACAGCATCAACCATACACTGCATGCACAGGTGGCCGTCGGCGACACGGCTTGCAGCACCCCATTCAGTAGCTACACCCATGTTGTTGTAAACAAATCAACCAGTTGTCCTGTTCCAGATATTGCCGCTGGCCACCCTTGTGTTTGACATCACTCCCCGGACAGGTTTGCCTGGCAAAACAATGCCTTGGAGTGGTGCACCTTGGAAGCTGCAGTGAGAGATGCTCCTTTCTCGTGGAGTAACTGTGCAGTGGCTGTGTGCCCATACTCTGAGGCCAGATGCAGGGGCGTCCTACCATCCTGAAAGGAGAATTCACACTTTCAGGCAGTGAGGAAAATGACCTCAAGCACTCTGGCCGGCCGCGTGCAAACATTGGGTGCAATCAGTAGGATGGTGCTGCACAGCATACAGCATCAACCACACACTGCACACACAGGTCGCTGACGGCAACAAGGCGTGCAGCACCCCATTCACCAGCTCGACGCCTGTTGCTGCAAAAAAAAACAACCAGTTGTCCTGCTCGACATGTTGCCGCTGGCCACCTTTGTGTTTGACATCACTCCCCGGACAGGCTTGCCTGGAAAAACAATGACTTGGAATGACCCACCTTGGAAGCTGCAGTGACAGATGCGCCTTTCTCGTGGAGGAGCTGTGCAATGGCCGTGTGCCCATACTCTGAAGCCAGATGCAGCGGTGCCCAGCAACCCTAAAAGGCAAATGCACACTTTCAGGCAGTGAGGAAAATGACCTCAAGCACTCTGGCCGGCCGCGTGCAAACATTGAGTGCAGTCAGCAGGATGGTGCTGCACAGCATACAGCATCAACCATACACTGCACGCACAGGTGGCCGTCGGCGACACAGCGTGCAGCACCCCATTTAGTACCTACACCCATGTTGTTGCAAACAAATCAACCAGTTGTCCTGGTCCAGATATTGCCGCTGGCCACCTTTGTGTTTGACATCACTCCCTGGACAGGCTTGCTTGGAAAAACAATGACTTGGAATGACCCACCTTGGAAGCTGCAGTGACAGATGCGACTTTCTTGTGGAGGAACTGTGCAATGTCCGTGTGCACATACTCTGAACCCAGACGCAGTGGCGCCCAGCCAACCTGAAAGGCAAATGCACACTTTCAGGCAGTGAGGAAAATGACCTCAAGCACTCTGGCCGGCCGCGTGCAAACATTGAGTGCAGTCAGCAGGATGGTGCTGCACAGCATACAGCATCAACCATACACTGTACGCGCAGGTGGCCGTCGGCGACACGGCGTGCAGCACCCAATTCAGTACCTCTACGCGTGTTGTTGTAAACAAATCAACCAGTTGTCCTGATCCAGATATTGCTGCTGGCCACCTTTGTGTTTGACATCACTCCCTGGACAGGTTTGCTTGGAAAAACATTGACTTGGAATGACCCACCTTGGAAGCTGCAGTGACAGATGCGCCTTTCTTGTGGAGGACCTGTGCAATGGCCGTGTGCCCATACTCTGAAGCCAGATGCAGCGGCGCCCAGCCATCCTGAAAGGCAAATGCACACTTTCAGGCATTGAGGAAAATTACCTCAAGCACTCTGGCCGGCCGCGTGCAAACATTGAGTGCAGTCAGCAGGATGGTGCCGCACAGCATGCAGCATCAACCATACACTCCAGCACAGGTCGCTGTCGGAAACAAGGGGTGCAGCACCCCATTCAGCAGCTCGACGCCTGTTGCTGCAAAAAATCAACCAGTTGTCCTGCTTGAGATGTTGCCGCCGGCCACCCTTGTGTTTGACATCACTCCCCGGACACGCTTGCCTGGCAAAACAATGCCTTGGAGTGACCCACCTTGGAAGCTGCAGTGACAGATGCGCCTTTCTCCAGGGGGAACTGTGCAGTGGCCGTGTGCCCATACTCTGAAGCCCGATACAGGCGCGTCCTGCCATCCTGAAAGGCAAATGCACACTTTCAGACACTGAGGAAAGTGATCTCAAGCACTCTGGCTGGCCGCGTGCAAGCATTGAGTGCAGTCAGCAGGATGGTGCTGCACAGCATACAGCATCAACCATACACTGCACGCACACGTGGCCATCGGCAACAAGGCGTGCAGCACCCCATTCACCAGCTCGACGCCTGTTGCTGCAAAAAAATCAACCAGTTGTCCTGCTCGACATGTTGCCGCTGGCCACCTTTGTGTTTGACATCACTCCCCGGACAGGCTTGCTTGGAAAAACAATGACTTGGAATGACCCACCTTGGAAGCTGCAGTGACAGATGCGCCTTTCTCGCGGAGGAACTGTGCAATGGACGTGTGCCCATACTCTGAAGCCAGATGCAGTGGCGTCCAGCAACCCTAAAAGGCAAATGCACATATTCAGGCAGTGAGGAAAATGACCTCAAGCACACTGGCCGGCCGCATGCAAACATTGAGTGCAGTCAGCAGGATGGTGCTGCACAGCATACAGAATCGACCATACACTGCACGCACAGGTCGCTGTCGGCAACACGACGTGCACCACCGCATTCTGTAGCTACACGCATGTTGTTGTAAACAAATCAACCAGTTGTCCTGATCCAGATATTGCCGCTGGCCACCTTTGTGTTTGACATCACTCCCCGGACAGGCTTGCTTGGAAAAAGAATGACTTGGAATGACCCACCTTGGAAGCTGCAGTGACAGATGCGCCTTTCTCGTAGAGGAACTGTGCAATGGCCGTGTGCCCACACTCTGAAGCCTGGTGCAGCGGCGCCCAGCAACCCTAAAAGGCAAATGCACATATTCAGGCAGTGAGGAAAATGACCTCAAGCACTCTGGCCGGCCGCATGCAAACATTGAGTGTAGTCAGCAGGATGGTGCTGCACAGCATACAGAATCGACCATACACTGCACGCACAGGTCGCTGTCGGCGAACACGACGTGCAGCACCCCATTCAGTAGCTACACGCATGTTGTTGTAAACAAATCAACCAGTTGTCCTGATCCATTTATTGCCGCTGGCCACCTTTGTGTTTGACATCACTCCCCGGACAGGCTTGCCTGGCAAAACAATCCCTCGGAGAGACCCACCTGGGTAGCTGCAGTGACAGATGCGCCTTTCTCCAGGAGGAACTGTGCAATGGCCGTGTGCCCATACTGTGAAGCCAGATGCAGGGGCGTCCAGCCATTCTGAAAGGCAAATGCACATTTTCAGGCAGTGAGGAAAATGACCTCAAGCACTCTGGCTGGCTGCGTGCAAACATTGAGTGCAGTCAGCAGGATGGTGCTGCACAGCATACAGCATCAACCATACACTCCACGCACAGGTCGCTGTCGGCAACAAGGCGTGCAGCACCCCATTCAGCAGCTCGATGCCTGTTGCTGCAAGAAAAACAACCAGTTGTCCTGCTCGACATGTTGCCGCTGGCCACCTTTGTGTTTAACATTATACCCCGGACAGGCTTGCTTGGAAAAACAATGCCTTGGAGTGACCCACCTGGGTAGCTGCAGTGACAGATGCGCCTTTCTCCAGGAGGAACTGTGCCATGGCCGTGTGCCCATTCAGTGACGCCTGATGCAGGGGCGTCCTGCCATCCTGAAAGGCAAATGCACACTTTCAGGCAGTGAGGAAAATGACCTCAAGCACTCTGGCCGGCCGCGTGCAAACATTGAGTGCAGTCAGCAGGATGGTGCTGCACAGCATACAGAATCGACCATACACTGCACGCACAGGTGGCCGTCGGCGACACGGCATGCAGCACCCCATTCAGTAGCTACACGTATGTTGTTGTAAACAAATCAACCAGTTGTCCTGATCCAGATATTGCCGCTGGCCACCCTTGCGTTTGACATCACTCCCCAGACAGGCTTGCTTGGAAAAACAATGCCTTGGAGTGACGCACCTTGGAAGCTGCACTGACAGATGCGCCTTTCTCGTGGAGGAAGTGTGCAATGGCCGTGTGCCCATACTCTGAAGCGAGATGCAGCGGTGCCCAGCCATCCTGAAAGGCAAATGCACACTTTCAGGCAGTGAGGAAAATGACCTCACGCACTCTGGCCGGCTGCGTGCAAACATTGAGTGCAGTCAGCAGGATGGTGCTGCACAGCATACAGCATCAACCATACACTGCACGCACACGTGGCCATCGGCGACACGGCGTGCAGCACCCCATTCAGCAGCTCGACGCCTGTTGCTGCAAAAAAATCAACCAGTTGTCCTGCTCGACATGTTGCCGCTGGCCACCTTTGTGTTTGACATCACTCCCCGGACAGGCTTGCTTGGAAAAACAATGACTTGGAATGACCCACCTTGGAAGCTGCAGTGACAGATGCGCCTTTCTCGTGGAGCAACTGTGCAATGGCCGTGTACCCATACTTTGAAGCCAGATGCAGCGGCGTCCAGCCATTCTGAAAGGCAAATTCACACTTTCAGGCAGTGAGGAAAATTACCTCAAGCACTCTGGTCGGCCGCGTACAAACATTGACTGCAGTCAGCAGGATGGTGCTGCACAGCATACAGAATCGACCATACACTGCACGCACAGGTCGCTGTCGGCAACACGACGTGCAGCACCCCATTCTGTAGCTACACGCATGTTGTTGTAAACAAATCAACCAGTTTTCCTGATCCAGATATTGCTGCTGGCCACCCTTGTGTTCGACATCACTCCCCGGACAGGCTTGCCTGGCAAAACAATGCCTTGGAGTGACCCACCTGGGTAGCTGCAGTGACAGATGCGCCTTTCTCCAGGAGGAACTGTGCAATGGCCGTGTGCCCATACTCTGAAGCCTGGTGCAGGGGCGTCCCGCCATCCTGAAAGGCAAATGCACACTTTCAGGCAGTGAGGAGAATTACCTCAAGTACTCTGGCCGGCCGCGTGCAAACATTGAGTGCAGTCAGCAGGATGGTGCTGCACAGCATACAGCATCAGCCATACACTCCACGCACAGGTCGCTGTAGGCAACAAGGCGTGCAACACCCCATTCAGCAGCTCGACGCCTGTTGCTACAAAAAAATCAACCAGTTGTTCTGCTCGAGATGTTGCCGCCGGCCACCCTTGTGTTTGACATCACTCCCCGGGCAGGCTTGCTTGGCAAAACAATGCCTTGGAGTGACCCACCTTGGAAGCTGCAGTGACAGATGCGCCTTTCTCCAGGAGGAACTGTGCAGTGGCCGTGTGACCATTCTGTGACGCCCAATGCAGGGGCGTCCAGCCATCCTGAAAGGCAAATGCACACTTTCAGGCAGTGAGGAAAATGACCTCAAGCACTCTGGCCGGCCGCGTGCAAACATTGAGTGCAGTCAGCAGGATGGTGCTGCACAGCATACAGAATCGACCATACACTGTACGCACAGGTCGCTGTCCGCAACACGACGTGCAGCACCCCATTCTGTAGCTACACGCATGTTGTTTTAAACAAATCAACCAGTTGTCCTGATCCTGATATTGCCACTGGCCACCCTTGTGTTTGACATCACTCCCCGGACAGGCTTGCCTGGCGAAACAATGCCTTGGAGAGACCCACCTGGGTAGCTGCAGTGACAGATGCGCCTTTCTCCAGGAGGAACTGTGCAATGGCCGTGTGACCATACTTTGAAGCCAGATGCAGGGGCGTCCAGCCATTCTGAAAGGCAAATGCACACTTTCAGGCAGTGAGGAAGATGACCTCAAGCACTCTGGCCGGCCGCGTGCAAACATTGAGTGCAGTCAGCAGGATGGTGCTGCACAGCATACAGCATCAACCATACACTGCACGCACAGGTGGCCGTCGGCGACACGGCGTGCAGCACCCCATTCAGTAGCTACACGCCTGTTGCTGTAAAAAAATCAACCAGTTGTCCTGTTCCAGATATTGCCGCTGGCCACCCTTGTGTTTGACATCACTCCCCGGACAGACTTGCATGGCAAAACAATGACTTGGAGAGACCCACCTGGGTAGCTGCAGTGACAGATGCGCCTTTCTCCAGGAGGAACTGTGCAATGGCCGTGTGCCCATACTCTGAAGCCTGGTGCAGGGGCGTCCTGCCATCCTGAAAGGCAAATGCACACTTTCAGGCAGTGAGGAAAATGACCTCAAGCACTCTGGCCGGCCGCGTGCAAACATGGAGTGCAGTCAGCAGGATGGTCCTGAACAGCATACAGCATCAACCATACACTGCACGCACAGGTCGCTGTCGGCAACAAGGCGTGCAGCACCCCATTCAGCAGCTCGACGCCTGTTGCTGGAAAAAATCAACCAGTTGTCCTGCTCGAGATGTTGCCGCCGGCCACCCTTGTGTTTGACATCACTCCCCGGACAGGCTTTCTTGGCAAAACAATGCCTTGGAGTGACCCACCTTGGAAGCTGCAGTGACAGATGCGCCTTTCTCCAGGAGGAACTGTGCAGTGGCCGTGTGACCATTCCGTGACGCCCAATGCAGGGGCGTCCAGCCATCCTGAAAGGCAAATGCACACTTTCAGGCAGTGAGGAAAATGACTTCAAGCACTCTGGCCGGCCGCGTGACAACATTGAGTGCAGTCAGCAGGATGGTGCTGCACAGCATACAGAATCGACCGTACACTGCA